CTTCTCCAGGGCTGGGGTTTGGTGGCCAGGATGGCTCGCGTGCCGCAGAAAGAGCTGAGGGCATCATAACTAGCGCCGGTTGTTGGGTTTTCCTCTTTAGCATTAGCTTTTGCTCCGCCGTTCGTGCATCCGATCGGGGATAAAAGTTGATCGTATCAAGTAGGCATCTGCTTCGCCGAAAACCCTCTGTCCTTATGTCGTGTTTCAGCCCTGTTTGAGCTATTTCTGTTTACTCGTGGTGGAGTTGCCTCGGCAATTTACTCAAAATACTCTGGAAAATCCTGGATGGTAAATTGAACCAGTCCGGGCCCGGGGCTGCTCTGGCTTCCCGGGACTCCAAGCTCTGTTTTCGGACAGCCAGATGTGGCCAGTTGTTTGTCCCGTCTCCTGAATATGTGAAACATTGCAAGAAGATCAAAGGGGAGTATTTTTAATGAGGAGAAAAAGCTTCTGGTCTGAATCTTAGAGGCGGGTGTTCCAGGCTTTGCAGAATAGCTGGATATTTTGAGAGTTATTTTGGCTGCCTGAAAAGAGAAACCCCCAAGGTTCATTCCTCTCCTGCATCTCACTGGACTCGGAGGAGCCTGTGGTGCCCCGCGGTGTTGTCCCTCCTCAGCTGCGTCCAGATTTGGGATCCGATATAGGTTCAGAAGCCCTTTTTCTCTCGCGACTTAAATCCTGGGAAGCGGAGTGCTCCGGGAGCCCCTCACCCTGGTTTCCAGCCTGCCTCTGGGCTTCTCACATCCAGCTCCACCCATCCTTATTGCCCACCCATCCTCACGGGGGTGACCACCATGGGCCACCCAAGGAGGAGCGGTGCCGGGTTTGGAGCCCGGGGTCCCCAGCTTGGGCAGAGTGGAGCCAGGCGGTTTCCGTGTCGTTTATTTGGGACACCCACCAAACTGGGGGGAAACTGGGCTGTGCGATGCTCTTCCACCCCACTTTGGCTTGCGATGAGAAGCTCTCACCCTCCACCTAGCACGGCAGGGACTTGAAGCGGCTCGGCAGATCTTGCCTCCCCCTTTTCCAGATCCCCTTTTCCAGAGGGATGGAGTTACAAAACCTCGGGAGCGGATGGCGCCCGGCTGTCTTCATTACAGCCTGGCTGTATTTGTGAAACCAGTTTATTCCCGGAACATTGGTCCGAGCTCTGATCTCATTTCCCGGGAGCTGGACAGCTGTCCAGCCCCGTTAATCTGGGGTAATGAATCACAGACAGGTCCATCAGATTTGCTGGGTGGGGAGGATGATGTCCAGCCCTGCGCATATTCTCTCATTTATCTGTATAAACTGTGGTGGGGGTGGGGGGATTTTTGCCCGTGTGGGCTTAATATACGGTGCCGTGTCCCTCAGCCTGTGTGTCTGCATCGTTTCGCGGGGCGGTGGGAAGGATGCGCGTGTCAGGGGGGCACCTGCGCATCCCTTCGTTTTAGCCCCTGAAAGAAAGATGCTTCTCTTCTCTCTCCCAGGACACTCATGGGACCGTACGGGATGGATCGGACCGTGCATTGCTTCGATTTCTACGACTGTGCAAACGGGCTGGGTGAGTACGGAACCTCTGCAAGGGACAGCGGGGTGGGCTGGGGCAGCTCCAGCATCCCCCACCCTGGTCCCCAGCACCTGCGTCGTGATGTGAAGTCTGGTATCTCAGAGCAATACTGGTTCTCGCGCCTGCCCGTGTCGAGCATCTGATAGCACCTTTTGCAGCTGGGAGGTTAAAATAAAGTCCAAATCCTGACTAATTCCCCGTTGATGGTGAGCAGCCGCAGTGCTGAGAGCTGTGCAGGAGCGCAGGGCCACAGCCTTGAGCAGGATGGGGGGGGAAAAGGCTTTTCAGAATTTTCGGAATTAATTAAAATAATAATAAAAAATATTAAAAATGATGGTAATAAGAAATAAATGCAATCCCAAGCGCTCCCCGGGAAGCCACCCCGTCGGGCGACGCAGGGCGTTGCAGGCCTCCCGGGGAACCGGGCTGCGTGAGTTGTTTTTGGAAAGTTTGTCCCACGGGTAAGAGTATGAGCACCGAGCGAGTCAGACGTCCTTCCACGCTGCTCTGAACATCAAAGCACGGAAGAGAAGGCAAAAAAAGAGATGTTCGTATCCATCCAGAACGTAAGAAATAGCCACGGGTTCATAAAACTCAGCCCAAAAGGATGCAGCATAGCATCTCCGCTGACCTGTGTGTATCCAGTAGCATAAATACTGGTGCTCTTTCATGGGCTTTATAAAAAATTGCAATCCCACATCAGGATTTGTCATGCTCCACCGTGAACTCTCCTCCCTAATTTTTAATTCCGAGCGCGGCCTGCCGTCCCGCAGATGGTAAGGGTGACAATTTGGGGACCTCTCCCGAGAAGTCAAACTCACCAGAGAACCAAGTTCAGGTTTCCCGAGACCTGAGATTAATTATAGATTCATTATTGGGTGTTTCCAGCTCTTGGGTAACGGGGCTTTCTGCTGGGGAGGAACGGCTTTGCTGACTCTTCACCCCGGTCTTCCGTTCACGAGGTTGACGGCAGCTCAGAGAAATGTCTTTGCTCGGTGAATATGATATTTTAATCTCCAGAGGTGGATTTGGTTGAGTTGATGGGATTTTAGCTGTTGGGTTAGATTAGCTCGTTAAAGGAGCTCGAAAAGCCTGACGGAGCCACCGCTGACCTCTGGGAGAGGTGCACAGATGTCGCAGCCCACTGCGAGCCGCTCTGCTGGGTCCCGGTCCTCCTCCTTTCCCTTGATCTGTGGCCAGACCCTACAGGGCCTCGCGATGCGCTGCAGGAAGGGATAACGACGTGGATTTTCTAATGCCATCATAAGCTTTCTTCATCCTCTCTTGTGAAGCCTGAAACGCCCAAGACAAGCGCTCGTCCTTCAGAAATCATCCCTCTCTGCTGAGGACCAAGCGGTGCTTGCAGGAGCCCCGTCTCTGCCATAGGTGTAGCTGCTCAGGATGTGGTTTTTAGCGGGGAAAAAAGGTGCCTCCGTGAATTTCTTATGTTCAGATGCGGGTGTTACTCCAGCAGAGTTTCTTTAGAGCAGCATCAGCCCGCTCGGTGCCGGTGCGGCAGGTCAGCGTTTGGCCCCGGGTCTGTTGCTCTGTGGCTTTAGGTGGCAACCAACATGTGAACCTCAGCAGAAGTTCAAAGGGGTTACCGGGCGGCTCCTAAAACCTGCACTTTGAACTAAAGAATAGCCCTCAAAGGGAAGCGCTGATTAAGAAGCGTTTCTCAGAAACACCGAGATCCCATTATCTTGACCTTCATCTTCTTAGGACAGGGCAGCCAGTGATTCACCTCCAATCTGTCCCTTCCTCCAGACAGAAAAAGCTGGCTGGGACTGCAAGATCAACAGAGGGATTAAGGGAAATGTAATTGAACATTGCTAGCTTAGGCGCAAAGCGGGCGGCCTCTCTCTCTGCGGACCGCCGGCCGGGCCAGTGGGGTCGGGATACGCCGGAGATGATTACAGTTGGGCTAAACAACCAGATTAGCCAGGACACCCCTTGACCTCTGGTATAGGGAGCCGGGAGCAGGTAAGATTATAGCCTGAGAAGTTGAGAACTGCGACACTGGGATTAGACGCAGCGGAGAAGCTCGAGGGTCTTGAAGGAATTTATGGAATGGCGAAGAATCTAAAGAAAAAACCGTCTCGGTCAGTCTAACCTGTATGGCCCACCTGGATTTTCCCCATAAACATTTACACTGAAAAAGAGAAAATACTGGGGGCACGGGCATCAGCTCCAGGATCTTTGCCAGAAAGGAAAGATTAAATAGAGGGATCCAAAATAGGCTAGATTATCTGGTCCTAAGTATGACTTAATAAGCATTATACCGGGACTTTGATGCTGTGATAATTAGAGCGCCGTTATTTACCTACACTGGGTCCCAAATATAAATTTGATTTGAAATAAGCATTTAGAAAATATGAAAGCTCCCAGGAATACCACCACCACAATCTTTGATGGTTTGGGTTTGTTGCAACTGCTCCCAGGCTGTCCCACAGCTTGGTCTGAGCCCTGGCAGTGGTGAACCCTTCCTCCTCCTCCTCCTCCTCCTCCTCCTCCTCCTCCGCCTCCTCCTCCTCCGGTGGTGCCTCCACGGCAAGGCGATGGGTGGGAGGGCAGGGTGGGCAGAGCCTGGCAGCACCCGGTTTGTTTGCCAAGAAGGGAGTTAAAAGTCAGAGTTGGTTTAGGGTGGTTTTTTTTTCCCTTCCCCCCCCCGTCAAAGTTTGAGCGTGTCTGGGAGCAATACTGTGAGTAATCACTGATTTTAATAACAAGATCGGATTTTCTCCTGACATGGTTGGGGATAAAGGAGGATTTGTAGATACTTCGGCTATATTAAGCCATTATTACAATTGATTTGCAGACACAAAAGGGAATTGAGTCATTATTGGTTTGATACCTCGGCAGAGGAACCTGTCGCAAAAGGGTCCCGCCGGGCTGCCGGGTGATGCTGCAGCTGCGCCTCTTCTGAGATGCAGATTTTTACATGGTTTGTCTAATGTGTTTCATCATTCCTAATTACCTCATGTACCGGTGTGAAGAAAGACGTAGGATGACTTCTCAAGTCATCACCTTGGCTTAAGCTGGACTTCCAGTGTCCTCCTCATCCAGAGGACAAGAGGGAACGGGCACAAACTTGACCATAGGAAGTTCCATCTCAGCCTGAGGAGGAACTTCTCTGCTGTGAGGGCGGCAGAGCAGTGGCACAGGCTGCCCAGAGAGGTGGGGGAGTCTCCCCCTCTGGAGCCATCCCAAACCCGCCTGGACGCCGTCCTGTGCCACTGCTGGAGGTGCCCCTGCTCTGGTGGGGGTGGCACTGGGGGAGCTCCAGAGGGCCCTTCCAGCCCTCACCAGTCTGGGATTCTGGGATTCTGTGAACCGATGGGGCTTTCCTTCTGCAGGAAGGAAACCCCATACCAGGGGTTTCCCAGGCCCATCCCACGTGCAACCCCTGCTCTCCAGGGTCTCTCTGTGGCAAAGCCCATCCACAGCCACCCCAGCCCGGTTGGGAGCAGAGAAGCATTCCAGCTGAGCATCCTCAGCGATGAGCAGGTTTTACCTTCCGTCAGTGAGCTTTGGGGCTGCAGCATCTCTTCCCTGCTTTGGTCCGCAGGCGCCTGACTTGTCCCCGTACCTCGGTGAGGCTCGCGCCGCTTGGAGATCCCTCTTTTGGGCAATATTTCCAATTTTAGTGAATTTCTTTAAAATGCACACCACCACCGGTGCCTCTTCCTGAGGGGTTTTGTTGTGAGTTCCCGCTGCCACGGGTAAAACAGCTCCTCCCGGACACCTTGGGGATGGATTATGGCCAGGGAAGAAACTCCGGCGCTGGGATGGTGCTGGGTTTTTGTGCTGGGGAGGAGCAGCGATTGGCGCATACGGGAGCGAAATGAAAAATTGCGATAAACCTGGTTTCAATCACAATTTTAATGTAAGGTGACTTGGGGGCAGGGCCTTTCCCTAGAGGGAGCTGAAAGCTGCGAGGGGCCTCGGAGCAGAGCTCGGGTTATAAAGGGAAGGGAAGTAGGGATGGAAACAGTGCCCTCGTCCCGAGTCATCCCAACCCAGGGTCCGCTCCTCTTCCCTCCTGCTCGTTTTGGAAAGGGCTCTCGTGTTTTGGGGAAGCAGCTGTGCTCTGCTCCATTGGAGGGAGCCGCTCTGTGCCTCCCCGCACCCCGCCGAGGCTCGGAGCAGCTCAGGGCAGCGGTCGGGGGGATGAAGTTGGTTTCCCACCGGCAGTGCCCCTCTCTGCGGTGCCGCCTGTCCTCAGCCTTTGTTAATTAAAGCCAGGCTTTTTAATCCTTCTGTCCACAGTCCGGATCTTCAAAGTGGGACTTAACAAGCCCTGGACAAATAAAGTCTCTCGGGCCTTTTCCTGCCAGCCGGCTTTACGCACGCCAGCGGGGACAGGTCCCACGGCCGGAGAGATGGTCCGGCAGCGCCAGAGCCCTTTGCCGAGGTGCTGCGACGGGGGGTGTCGGAGCCGCACCAAAGGTCACCTCTGCAGCCTGGCTCCTGCCGCTGGGCTGCTCCTCCCGGGTTCAAACCCTGATAAGAAGCGGCTGCTCCTGACGTGCAGCTCTGCCATCGCCGGCAGCTTCAATGCTGGCGATGTCTCCAGCGGGGTGGATGTCTCCAGCTGGATGTCTCCAGCTGGAGAAGGTCTCCAGCGGGGACCTTCTCACTGCTGCGTTGAACCCGGGGCTTCTCCAGGTGTTGCACCTCAAAGAGGGTCTTCCAGGGGCAACGCTTGTCCCCAGCAACGTTTCCTGTGACAGGTCTTATCAGAGAGATGAAGCACCGTCACCCATCAGTGACGGATAACTGCAAGCGATGAACGTGGGGTCAGGGCAGGCGATCGCTCCTCGCCTGTGCCATTCTCAGAAGCTTTGGCCCCGCTGCTGTTGCTCCCAGAAGGTGCTATCAGATGCCTTCAGCCTTTGTCTTGTGTCCGTGGTCTCATCCTATTGCTTCTGCTGCTGCCTGTGTAGTTGGGGGGATGCATGGGGCTTTCCACAAATAGTTTTTAAAAGGGGGGTCAGGCGGTGCCGGAGGCTGTTTCCCTCTGAGACGGTCAAAATGGAAACTGCGCTTCTGTATGTGATGGGCACTTCTCTTCCTCCAGGTATTAAGGTAATCGGTGGCATCAAGGAACTCACCGGGGACGAATATGGAGTTTATGTCAAGAGGATCCTTCCAGGGGGTGTCGCTTACGCAGACGGTGAGTTAAACGTGGTGCTGAGTACCGCAAAGTCTGAGACAAGCCAAAAGACCACATATTTATTTTATACATCGCCTTATCAGACAGCTGAGACGCTTCCTCCTAGTTTTTCCAGCAGTGGGGGTGTCTTCTTACTGTGGCAATCACTGTAACAGCCGACGGCAGCCTTGCCTTGCCTTCTCAGCGTAGGCACCATCGCTTCGTGTCTTTAAAGCAGGATCCATCCCCACCTCACAAAGACCTTCGCTTCGCTGCCTCTCCTTTTCCCTGCGCTGCTGACCGCCCTTAGCCCCAAAATGACTGGAGATCCTTTTGCAAATTCAGCTCTGCTCTGATTTCATTCTGAGCGTCTTCAAATAAGGAGGGATTAGGCAGAGAGCTGCAGAGTTCACCTTTCATAACTTAAGCCAGAAAGATTTTTATTTTTTCAAATGTTACACCACCATTTTTCCATCTAATAAAGAAAAGTAAATCCAGAAGAGGTGGAGGTGCCACTCGTGGTTTCCCACCTGACCTCAGACTGAATTAAGTAAAAGCTTTATTGCAGTTTTCGGTATGTACTTTCGTAACTTCCTACAGCAGAGGAAGCGCTGCGACGTTGGCACGGGGTGTTCAGAAACTTCATCTCTGGACATCTTGAAAAACAGGTTGGATGAGCATCTCAGGAACAACCTATGCATATTTCATCCTGTCTCTGGGCAAAGGGAGGAATTGCCCAACCTCTTCCAGTCCCTTCAAGCTGTATTTTCTGCAGTTTCTATCCATTAGTTTTCTTTTCTAGGGCGCCTGCAGCCAGGAGACCAGATCCTGGAGGTCAATGGAGATTCCTTAATTGGGGTTACAAGCGAGAGGTACCATATCCAAATGGAAATTTTGCATTCCTGTTGCTTTTGTCTAATTCTGGGAAGTGGTTTAGGCTGTGGGTTGCGCAGAGGACGCCGGGGCATCGCTTTGTCTGTGCTCGGACGCAGCCGGCGCTCTTCCCGAGAGCCAACTTGGGAATTATCATATAAAAAGTTTCTATATAAAAATAGACCGGTGAACCCAAACTGTATTTGTGAGATATTCAGACATTTCCCCAAAATGCTGGTTTTTTAAACAGCTCCTGGCACTCCCACTCCGCCTGCTGCAGCTTCCCAGTAAGCCCTGCAGCTCCCAGTGCCAAAGACTGGCCAGTGCCTAAGCCCCACAGTGCTGCTCTGTGCGGGGAATTCCCCCCGGAGCTGCAATCCAGCCCCCCACCTCCCTGCCAAGAAAATAATTAACCGATCCAGAGGAGTACAGCACTTTTGGGGCACCTCTCTGCCATTAAATGCGGTGCTACTCCGCTGATGCCTTGCACTTCTGCCACCGAGATGCTGGGAGGGCTGGAGCCCCTCTGCTGGGAGGACAGGATGGGAGAGTTGGGGGGGTTCAGCCTGGAGAAGAGAAGGCGAAAAAGGGGAGACCTCAGAGCCCCTTCCAGTGCCTAAAGGAGAGCTGGGGAGGGACTTTTTCCAAGGGCATGGAGTGATTAAGATGAGGGGGAATGACTTCAAACTGGAAAAGGGGAGATTTAGATTAG